ATTCTTAGGGGAATATTTTCACCCCTACCCCTTGACACTCTGTTTCAAGAGACAAGGGGAAGGGGTATAAAATAGAATTGGGATTGGGCCATATTAATCTGTTCTGTTGAGGTGAGCTGGTTGGTTGTGTGCTATATGAGGACACCAGCGAAAAAGCGAAAAGGTCTTCTGTATTCTGTCTAGTACTGACATGTTAAATATTTGAGCATTTGATGGAATGGGAAAGCTGACTGTGACATGAAGGCTTCATCCTCTAACATCCAGTTTAGCATCAAGTCCTTGCACACTCAATTTATACTCAACGTACAGAAGCGCTCGTTACAGATTCATCTGCCTTGCCTTTCTGTTTTGGTTATATGGCTGTGTAAAAAGTTTGTGAGAGAGATCAAAACATTGCAGTCCAGAGTTTTTCAACGAGCCAGTGTCAGAATGAGAAAGTCCACTCAAAAAGGTCAGTTTTGTTATCATTTACTCACCTCTCATGTTCTAAATCTGTATCGCTCTTTGGATTTCTTGATTCTGATTAGTCTATCGTGGTCTCATATAAGTCCGCTCATCCTGGGTAACTGAAACCGGTGCTACTTGCGTATCTCTCATATCACAACTTGCGTCTTTATTGATTGTTGTGAAAATGACTTAAGAATATTAGTGTGAATATTATAATGGACTATTTTTACTTAGTGGAAGCTTTAAGATAATTACAGGTAAAATTATAAAATACCATCAACTCAGTAGCTATGACCCAGTAGGCAATTGATGTTGAATCAAATTGTTGGTGTTGACATCAAATTAACGTAAAAAAAAAGGCATATACATTATACCAATTTCAGAGTTGGATTAACTTCCTATTTTCACCCAATTACCACTGGAAGAAACTGCCGTCCAAACTGAATTTTAAATGATGTTACAGCATCTTGATCAAGTCTTGACTAATATTTGACGTCAAAAAGAAAAAAAAAAAAAAAAAGAAAAAAAACCAAAAAAAAAAAAAAAAAGCAGTAAGTCTTCCAGCACAGAATAAATAGCTTGTATAGCGATGTGTAAACTTGTAGACAGCACGTTTTCACACAGTGGCAAACAGACATACACGCTCACTGCTAACATTCTGTCTTTTTTACGTCATTTGTAACATCCCCCACTATCATTGTATTATACCTCTACAGAAAAAATAAGCTGTTTACATTATATACATTACAAGTGGTTGTTCTTTCTCCTGGGGTGATGACAGGGCCTTGCTATTGTTTGTTACATGATGCAAAGATAGACCAGTTCACACCAGAATACACATGGAGTCCAGCCCAACAATTTTCTCAAATCTTGTAGTCTGTATTCATGAATCTCTTTGCACAAATGAGTGTTGTCTTGCTTTAGAAGAACACAACATTTAGATCATTTTCAGTTTTTTAGTTAACATCACAGATTTAAATGTCCAACACATCAGCTCTTGACTTCATTTCCAAGGTTATTGCCAAGACGATCCTAAACAACCAGATGTGCATTCCACAGACCATGATACATTTAGCAGGTTAACCTTGTGTTTCGCTTGATTCACAAACACATGCACACACAGTGATTTGAATCCACAGTATAGAACATGTCCAAAAAGAAATCATATAAAGCACTACCTTGGTCTTTATTCAGTTTTTGTGTTTTTCTAGTGATTTCCTTAAAATGAGACTACATCACAAATTCACTTTTCCCATAATGAACAGTAATGACATGAATACATAGACGGACCAGTGTTTACCTTTCCATTTTTAAAAGAACAGTTTATGGTGCATGGTACACTCTGAATGTCTTCATGTTTGTTTTTAGTACACTTCAAAGTGTAAGAAATTAGTTAGGATTGTACTGAGGAGCATGATCCCCATGACTGATGAATTCCTGTGCAATGTCAACATTAGTGTCATAACTATACACCAAAAGTACAGGTAGTGTAAAACATATTGGGATATGATTCTGCCTTCCAGCTTAATGCACCATCGGGAACATACTGTAAATATACTTATTTATACAGTTAGAATGAGCTTATTGCCACTTTCATAATTATATTGTGCATTTGTCAGAAATGACTGAGTAAAATTATTTGCAAAATTAAATCTATAATGTATGCATAGGATACCATGCATGAAAGATTAAAAAATAAATTATTTTAAATCTCATACATTCTTTATGTATACATACTTTACCATATGACTGCTCTGAATAAGGTTTTTAGAATCTCTTGTTAATAATTACATTTCATCAGGCTTCTGTAGCCTGGACTAATTCATATTATGGTCATCATTATGATTTAAAAGTAGAGTAATGATCATGCCCTCTCCTTGAGCGGATAACTTGTAAACATCCCATTCACTTGAACTCAGTCTAAAAGACACTTATTTAAAATAGATATTTGAGTTGCTCCTTTGGATGATGATGATTATTTATTTTTTTCATTTGAATACTAAAGTTCCTGTTTATGCCTGGAAGTTTAAAACCACAGTAATCAGCAGCTTGAAGATCAAATAGGACCAGTGGATTTCAGTATCTGCCTATTTTATGACATTAAGTTGTATGAAATAATGCTTTTATTGAATCTATACATGTCAGATATGCCATATACTGTAAGTTTTTAAATGAAATATGTAAATGTGAGCTAGCCCTTTTACTTCTACTGATTCTCTGAGCTGAATTCTAACACTTCATTTTCATTGTTGCTTATTACCCTCTATCTTTCCGTAAAAAAATACATCGTTACAATCTTTTAAGAACATTATACAAGACAGATCATCAATTTATGTCAGTACATGTACACATTTTGTTTTTCATTGTGCATGAATTAATCGTAAGCATCATATGTTTGTTAATGACATATTAATGAACATTATTGTATATTGTTACCATAACAAATTTTAACAGGAGGTTAAAGGGCAATGAGAAACAATGAACAAATAAAGTCAGTATGCTTATAAACTGGATATCTTGATTTGTATTGTACATCATTTTCTGTGGTGTTGATGTTTACATTTTTTCTCTAATATTGGACATTAAATGTGGTGTTCACATATGCCAAAGATGTTTCATATTGTGGGATACTGACTGCTGAACGTGCCAAACAACATATCATAAAAACATCGAAGAATAAACAATGTTGAAATGAACTTGGAATTAAGAGCTGATTGTAGTCATAATGAAAACTCAGTCATAGTCATAAGCTGCAAAAGTCAAGTCAAAATGTAGACAATCGCCTCTGTGTACTGAAAAACTCAATGTCCATTAGAAACATCAGTCTAGGTTGTGGCCGTCATACTAAGACAAGCTCCCGTGGCGTTGTGGGATTTTTGCGTATCTGTTTGTTGTATTTAAAGGTCTTTGTTATCGTGACTTATTAGTGAGCGTGAGGTACTATGACAACTGCTGTTAGCAAACGCACCTCTGTTGTGTTTCAATCTCCTCCTTTCCCATAAAGCTGAGTCAATAAATACCCATGAATATCACGTTATCACTAAATAACAGCCATAGAGAAGGTCTTTAAGTCACGAGTTAAAGAAATTCTCGATGCATTCGCTTCGTAGGGATCATATGTGCAGTCACTGTTTTTGTCACCCGGTTGACACAATTCAGTCCATCAGGCTCCAGTAAGACACACACGTTACAGTAACAAATCTGACAGAAACTAAAACCAAGACACAGACGGTGAGATATCAGCAGAAACTAACTCTTGCCTTTAATATGGATGAAACGTAGCTTATTTCCAATAATTCATATTTTGAGCACATTTCCAGATTTACAAAAGTAGCTGATGCTCCCTAGCTCTGTAAGACATTGTGCAAAGTTCACTGCACACAGTAACATTTCTATAGCAACTATGAGGTAATTTCACTGTTGCTAAGAGCTAGGTGATGTATTTCACAATGTCACTGATACTGGTGCAGACCTCTCTGCCATTTCTCCCCTGGAACAGGCAAACGTGTGCCCTCCACCCGAGCCCTTTTAGCCCAAGCTACAACCGTAGGGGATACACACATGTTGGGTTTTTAATCAACCAAAAGAAAATGTAAAAAAGCAAGAAATAAACAGGGCGGATAAACTGAGAGACCTCGCCGCAAAGTCAAAACGAGGCTTTGTTCATACGTGACTCACTCTTATTAAGTTAATTACACTTGTGCTAATTTTTCAGTCCCGCTGTTTAATACAATATTGTTCTTCTGTCTTGCTGTGTGGACCACTTCTTTTGTGTAACCTCGCAGCTTTCTGTGAGGATATTTTGGTTTTGCTCTGCATGGAGTGCCACTTCCCTGTTATTATCGCAATTTGTGAGTCTTCTTGTTCTGTAACAGCCGGTCACGTGACGGCTATCGTACATCCAAAGCATAGGGCTGCATCTGCGTGTTTCAGTCCCGATATGCAGGATCAACTCACTGGGCTGTAATGGAAGACTGACCCTCTAAAATCGCTGGTTTTGTCTCTTACGTCCCTCTCGGCTGGACCTGTGGCTCTTTGATGTTGCACTCGCGCAACCTCTAACGTGACATTACTTACGATAAATCAAAGTAGTACTTTCGATACTCTGTTACCAGGACAGGCCTACATGAAGCTAGCTGCTTTTAAAGAAAAACAATGTGCGGTACACGTCTATCCAGGTGAGAACAGTTTGCCCGCGTTACCCTGAAACACTCCCTTGTCGTCTTTAGAACAAATTTAGATGCTTATTTACCATTAACCACTTTTTCACACCATTGGGACACTGAATCAATACAACAAATTCATACCGATTGCAACGGCGTACGTGTCTCTTCCTGGTTCGTTGACTGTAAAGTTCTCCGAGCACCAGGCGTCATCAGAATAATTAATTTCACAGCATATTCAAAGCTCACTTTGATGTTCGAATATGGTATTTACATGGCTGTTGACGTGGTGAATAAAGAGGTGGAGTCCTCGGTCACATACGCTGCCCATTTCCCGCAAGTTCCAGCAGAACCAATGTGCACGGATATCGTGGAAAGGCTGCTGGCGGAAGCGTCTCTTTTTTTTTTCAGGTAAGGCTACAGCTCCTGTCCTGCGTTGATCTGCACTGCTGTTTGGGGGGGTGTTGAGTCCATCTAGTTAGGAACGGGAGGTGACGGGACCGAGAGGATGGGAGTCTGGGTTGGGTTGCCATGTGAGGGCCTCCGGTCACCTCCCTCCTAGCCTGAAAGGTCAGTTCTGTTCTGATGTGGCCATGGATGGTGGGAGGGGGGTCACGAATGCATGAAGAGTTGGACCCCCCTGGGTTGCTCACACGCTTCTGTTAACCACTGATATTGCTCAGTCTGTCTTAAAATAAAAAGCTGATCGCTTCCTTGGAGTGCAGGGCAGGCGGCGGGCCTCACAGGCCGGACACCATGACCCTGTAGGAGGGGGGCATGTGTCTGTGGCGTGGGCTGGAGGCTGGGCTGCTCGTGGGACTGCTGCAGCTCGCATCCACCCCTCCTATGGAGGGCAAATAGGCGTGATGCAGGATAGGCAGCTGCAGGGACAGCCTGCGCTGTATGCTGCGAACACAAACCACAATCAGTTGTCATATATAAAATTCCTCATTTTCTGTTATGCTCTTTAGTGATTGTGTTTAACATTGGGGACACTCTTGCATGCATGTAACAGAAGTTCATCTATAATTATATCACATATTCACAGGGCACATTTAAACCAGCAGTGACTTTGCCAAGTACAGTGTGTTCCCTTCTCAATTAAGAATTCAAGGTTTAGCTGGTTAGCATGACCTCTTTAGTCCCTGCTAGATGATATACTACACCATCTGGACATACACTACCGCTCAAAGTTTGGGGTTGGTAAGATTTTTTAATGTTTCTCAGCAGTCATTACTTCAGTTTTCAGTGTCATTTGATCTTTCAGAAATCATTCTAATATGCAGATTTAGTGCTCAAAGAAAAAATAATTCTTATTATTAGCAATGCTGAAAACGCTAGTGAAGGGTTTGGGACTGTGCTTGTTCTTGTGGTGCCATCAATCCAGTATGCACCTTACTGTGTGGATCACCTCAAATAAAGTCCATTTCATTCCTGTCTTGTGTCAGATTCAAACTGCACCCCAAGAGGCCGAAGCCCTATAAATCCATTACAGAAGCCGAATGGCAGTTATATAAAGCACAGACACCACACCTCTCATGATTGGTTTTACGATTGGAGTCTCTTTGAGTTATTACTTTCAATTAAATATTAATTTCATACATCAATTAAGGAAAATGTCTTCTGTGTTTAGAAATAATTAACATCGATTAGCCAGATGTTGCAGGTTCACATGCAAAAAAAAAAAATGTGAATGTCATTAAACTAAAAACTTATTTGTTTATCCCTTACTGCAGACATAGAGAACAGGCTCAATAAATTACTCATTGCATATTCCCATGGCAGAGATGGTGTTATTTTGCAGGGTCAAGGGACCATCAGCTACTGGGGTAAGTGTTGTGTGTGTGTTTGATGAACAGAGACACTGCAGAATCGCTCCTCTGTACAATCAAACATTCATGTGCTGGGACTGCCTGTCGTCCTCTAATTCTACTCTCCTGTCTATTTTCAGGGTCCAGTGCCTTCCGCTCTCACTAGAAATCACGTTATGTAACCAAAGCGCCCCCACCCCCCTTTCTCTCTCTTTTTTCTCTGTCCCTGAACCTCTCTTAAGTGCTTTCATTTTTTTTTTTTTCAGTTGTGGGTGGTTTTGCAAAGAGGGGTGTTCTCATTCTAGAAAGTGTCTGATTGGATAAAAATCTTTGATATAAAACAGTAGTCATCAACATTTTTTGGCCTGTCTTCCCAAGAAGAATGCATGTATCTACTAGGATGTGGAGAACCTTTAAACAAACAGACAGTCCCTAAAACGTAATTTTGATTACGTTTACGTTTAATTTTGATTTGATAGGGTGAGTGAATGAATTTTGTTATAGTGGCATGTGCAAACAAAGCTTTTTCTTAGACTCATACTTTCATCTTAATTTTTTACAACAAAACATGTCTGTTTTATAATGTAGAAGCAAACACATCTCTTGTCAAATATTATGTTTAGAAAGTATGATTGTGCTTCTTAACATCTTAATAAATTTTACTTTGTCTGATATTTTGTTAACAAACGTAATTCATATATTTTTAGGTGTCACACATGCCGGTGTGTGAACTTACTGTTCTGGTGAGTTGATGTCGTCTAGTTGACCTCTGCTTATCCTTGAAGGATCCATGGATCCCCACTGAGCCTGGGGTTTTTGTTCTAAGTGGTTCTTCAGAGATTTCTCTCCATCTGAAAACAAGGGCATGATGTTCAGAACGCTGCCTTTCCATCAAGATGTCAGTTGTGGATTCAGCTGAAGAACTGAGTCAGAACTTGCACCTTATATGACACTTCAGCTTGACATGTTTGGGGTGAATAATGTATAACACTCCAATAAATTGTTCTTTTTCTCTGGGTGACAGTAACAGAGGAAGAGTGTGTCACAAACTGAAATGAGACGCCAACTGACAGCTGTGTGTGATTGACAGGTGAGGAACACGGGGTTTAATATCCACTTCTCTTACCTTTGCCGTCAGTGAAGTTGCGTATGCTCAGGATATTGTTGACATCTTGGTAGTGGTTTTGTTTAATGTATGGAGTCTTTTCTGGAGTGTCCTGGAGTTGCATGGTAACCTCTTCCAGTTCTTTATCCAGCTGTAACACAAAGTCCAAAATTATTTAATCGTTTAATTTAATAATTTAATTCCAGGTTCATGAAAAAATGAAAGGATTTTTTTTCGTGATTTTTAAATACACTGAACAAAATTATAAACGCAACACTTTTGTTTTTGCCCCCATTTTTCATGAGCTGAACTCAAAGATCTAAGACTTTTTCTATGTACACAAAAGGCCTATTTCGCTCAAATATTGTTCACAAATCTGTCTAAATCTGTGTTAGTGAGCACTTCTCCTTTGCCGAGATAATCCATCCACCTCACAGGTGTGGCATATCAAGATGCTGATTGGACAGCATGATTATTGCACAGGTGTGCCTTAGGCTGGCCACAATAAAAGGCCACTCTAAAATGTGCAGTTTTACTGTATTGGGGTGTCTGGGGGGGTCCGAAAACCAGTCAGTATCTGGTATGACCACCATTTGCCTCACGCAGTGCAACACATCTCCTTCGCATAGAGTTGATCAGGTTGTTGATTGTGGCCTGTGGAATGTTGGTCCACCCCTCTTCAATGGCTGTGCAAAGTTGCTGGATATTGGCAGGAACTGGAACACGCTGTCGTATATGCCGATCCAGA